AACGAAAGCTAACTCGAAGAAGAAGAAATCAGCCTCTAGGTGAGCACCGGAGAGAAAGTTATTTATTTGCCGCTTCTTCTTTCACTAATAATTATATCTCAGGTGTGTACCTGAAAGAAATAGAATAAAAGATAACTCTTGTTGATTACACCGCGCCTACCACTCGGCTACCCATTACATTGGTGGCAGCGGTGTAGTTTTAAATAAAACAACGTGATTCGACCCCAGACCCCCAGGCCATGGCTCAACCCGCTGCAGCTTCGTGCGACGAATCAAGATGAGAATCATGTGTCTTACCTTCCTGGGCCTGGCCCTGCTTATTATCCTGCAGCACAGTCAGGGTGCTAGCGTGGATCACCCTTCTCTCCGCACGGCACACACTGGAGACTTCGATGGCGATTCCAAGCAACCCGCTACCTACATGTATACTACCGGTGGTGATGGCGAAGCTGATAAGGACGACAACAGGCAGGCTGCTGCCCAAGACAAGGAGGGTATTCCCCAAGACCAACAGCGTTTGATTTTCGCCGGCACGCAGTCGGAAGCAGGAGTCCACTCTTCATTATTTTGGTACTTCACCTCCGTGGTGGGATGCAGATTTTCATCAACACTCTTCCTGGCTAGACCATCACTCTTTACGTCGCGCAAAGCGATGCTATCGACAATGTGAAGACCACGATTCAGGACGAGGAGGGAGGTCATTTGTCTGACGCCGAGCTAGCCGCTCTGAGTGACCGGCTCAACCAAGATGAAGATAAAACCTGGCTTGCCCTCCGCCGTAGCTTCAGCCGCCGCCGTGGTTACTAACGCTGATTCTAGGTATGGCATTTTCTTTCCTTTCTTCCTTCAGTCTCCCTGTTCTTTTCAGTCTTCCTTTATGCGAGTGTGTGAATCCAGTTTAGTTTGGTAGGCGTCTGATCATGGTGAGCCACGGTTTACCCAGCTAACGTGGGACAATGTGTGTGACAACGCCCCTTATAGTTATAGTGTATTCAGTTCGGTTTTTGAACTGCGATGTTCCTGGCGGGTTGTGCCAGCGTTGTGCAGCAAGAGTGCTGTGGATTTTCAGGTCCTATTTGGAGAACAGTTATTTCCCCTTTTGACCCCGTGAGGTCGTGTGAACCTGGTGTGCTTCTACTTTATGATTTGTTATCAGTTCATTTCTTCTGTCTACTCTAAACGTTATCATTTCCGATATAATTTGCCATCTTCCGGTTGGCGCTGTGTTCGTAACTCTTCGCTAATTTTTTGAAAATCACGAGGGCGTGATTATCTGTAGGAAGGGAGGGTGTAGTATCCCTGCCCGACCAATACGGAAGCAGTACGGAACTAATACGGAAAGACCTTATGTATATTAATTTTAGTGTATCTCCGCATATAAGCGTACGGCGTCTGCTGCATAAAAGCAGCTGCGTTTTTCTGTTTTAATTAGATTAGATTAGATAGCAACGAAAGCTAACTCGAAGAAGAAGAAATCAGCCTCTAGGTGAGCACCGGAGAGAAAGTTATTTACTTGCCGCTTCTTCTTTCACTAATAATTATATCTCAGGTGTGTACCTGAAAGAAATAGAATAAAAGATAACTCTTGTTGATTACACCGCGCCTACCACTCGGCTACCCATTACACTACTCCACCAGAACTTGTGGCACTATAAGACATTCGCCAGTGGTTCCTCTCCATTGCAGCTTTGACGCAGGGCTATGGCTGAATAGCGTATACATATACAATCCCGACATTATCCATGGAGTGACAAGTGTAAACTATGTTAGGGATCATTGGGATGAGGTTTATCATGGCAACTGGTTGTCCTGCCTGCAGACACGCTGTCCGACCCTCCCCCCCCCCCCCCCCCCCCCCCCGGGCCGTGACTGCATTGGTTCTGTGAATAATCTTTTTATCTGAAACAGCAGATATTAGGCTGGTCTTGGATCCAGATCCCTTCCATTTGCGGTGAGCGTGAAAAAAATGTGGCCAGAATATTTTGATGCTCTACTTCCTTTACTTTCATAATCTTCTTCTCCTAGTGGTGTTGCAACATTGAACATTGACACAAGAATACTCTTCTTTGTTGATAGCACTTGACTCAGTCACTGCTACTGCTGTCTTGGCCCAACTTGCGAGCACAGTGGCGCCAGTCCACATCCAACTGTACGTGTTTCATTAGGAAACTCAGATACGCGCTGCTGCGGAGTGCTCATAACAACTTGGTGCTGAATCCATGAGAAATTCTACTTCTTTTCGAGCTGGTTCGGCTGGACTCCGCAAGGCAGTTCGTCGGAACAACATGCATCTCTTTCTACTTGTAGCTGCTCTTTCAGCCTGGTCCAAATTTATCAAAGGATCGGCGTCTACTTCAGTATCGCTACTAGCCTAGTCACGCTATCTTCAGAGCCTGAGGCACAACGAGAAACTTCTCTTCCGCTTTTCGATATTCACTTCGCCCCCATGACTCTCTATGTTTTCGACAAAACAGTTTCCTCCTTGCATTTGCTAGCCTTTCCAAAGATGCCATTATTTTTCGCAACTTATGCTTTTCACAACCGTGCCAAAACAAGTGCAAGTTGCTGAAATCGCATCCATATTTTCTGAAAAGCTCAAAAGTTGCTAACATCGCAACTCAAAATTGGAGAGTTCTTGTTCAAAAAACGACCAAAAAAGGAGCAGAAATAGCAGAAATGCTGCGACGGCAAACTCGCACACCCCTTCCTGCTGTTAACCACAACTTTACACAGTGCCAGTAGCCTGCTGCATGTATCCTACATCATTCCAGTGCACGGAAAAGGGAATGCACATTATCGTAACTACCGTTGATCTACTGTGTCTCTGAAATGAGTCTGAAGCCTAAGTGAGAGCAGGCGAGAAATGAGCCAGTATGTACAGGTTCCTGCACGAGTACGAGGGCAGTAGCGCAGAATCCAGCCCGCGTGAAATCCGTTCCTACCTCATGAGTGTAGCCGATTGTTGCCAAAAAGCTGGGATTTCCCGATATTATCCACTATGGAAGTCCAAATGCCTCTCAAATCGCACAAAATGCTCGTTTTGTCCTTTCTAATGCTCCATAATGCTCTGATGCTCGGATAGTCCCATAGGCCATTGCCGAATAAAATGCAGGCATCATCCGCTGGACCATATTTATAGGTTAGTGCATGGCAGGGAGGGCCTTATGGCTTGTTAGTGCCCGAAAGGTTAGCCTGAGGGCCGTAGGCCCGAGGGCTAACCTGAAGGGCACAAACAAGCCATAAGACCCTCCCTGCCATGCACTAACTATTTTAGAACGAGGTTACATGTATTATCTCACTTCCATTATGCTTGTGTACCAATATATGGGGTAGTTTTGTGGTTTGTGTGCAGAGAGACTTGGTGTGGTATGAAAGAATATTTTCTTCTGGTAAGTTATGGTAACTCAGCACCACTTACGACTACTAAAAGTAGAATGGAAGCAAATGAAATGCTGGGCTCTTATTGCGAGCTTCATTCTTATTCATATACATGTATGTAGCTTGTGGAGCTATTTAGGGGCTTTGAGAGCCCCTTGTCGATAGCTCTAATGACTTTGATCCTCGCTTTTTATAGGTTTCCGCAAGCTGTTGACAAAGAAAATTCGTACAGATGAAAGAATACGGGAGGCAAAAGCCGTACACACTTCTGAATTGCGTAGCTTTTAGTAGTACACCGTACACGTTATGCAGAGTTCATTATCTGCACCGTACTATTAATGCATACAGGGAGTTGTACGCACCAGTTTAGAGTATTATTCAGCGGGCTTTAAACTAATCCAAGGCCCTCGACGCGTCATCAAGAGTAGTAAAATAACGATTGAGCGGGCTTTAAACTCTGATAAGGCCCTTGGCGGGAATGTCGCTGATTGGTCGTTTCCTGGACAACGAGACAGACCTCGTTCTAAACGGTTGTAGTACCCGGTGGCGCAGCAAGGAGCCCCCCCCCCCCCTTCATCTGTTTAGTGTAAGGCTGTGTTTACATGAGGCGTTTCAACCCGGGTTGAGTTCGACCCGGGTCAGATTTCAACCCCCCATGTGCACAAAGTGAATGGCGCGTTTACATGACGCATTGCGCTTGACCCGGGTTGAAATTTCGCCCCGGGTTGATTTCAACCCTCCCCCCAAGGGGAGGGTTGAAACCAACCCGGGTCAAGAAAATCGTACAAACGTACTTCTGTGCGTATCTCGCGCCAGGTTTGAACAGCACTGCACATGCAAATTTCGCGCGAACGGATTCACGTGACCATAGAGGACTGTAGAAGTGGACTTTTGGCGGCATATCAGTATTTGACCCGGGTCAACTGTCTTCATGTAAACGCTCACCTCTTTTGTCTATCGTACAGACTTTCAACCCGGGCTGAACTCGACCCGGCCGGGTTGAAATTTCTCATGTAAACACAGCCTAAGGCTCTGTCCGTCCTATCTGGTGTGACTAACTAACTGTGAAGTGTGAGGTGCTAGAAGAAGACAAAAGGCTGCATAGGAGGACAGAACGCAAAAGTTGAGACTTGAGTGTCATGAGTCCACTCTTTGCGGTCCACTTTTACAAATACACACGCACGGAAGTTTCTGCTGTCAGCCCCGTAGGTTGGCAAAGCCAAAGGCCTTTATAATTTTATTGAATATAGTAATGATTTTTCCTTCTCTACAATACCGCCCAGTTCAAAACACTCTACATTTCACCAGGCTATGATCTCAAGAATTCTCATACTTGCGGCGTTAGCTGTTATTTCTGTTTTCCAATATTGTCCTGCACTAGCAAAGTTTGGGAACTGTGTTGGTGGTGTTGAGTAATACACCAATCAAAAAATATTTTTAAAATTTGTTTGGCTTGTGCCAGGCCACCAACGCATCTAGCGCCTGAGATAGCATGGTGACAGAGGCAGCGCCTAGCGGCGGGGGAGAGGTGGTAAGTCTCACAAGCAGTCCAACAAGGGGGCGCGAAACCAGTAGTACAAGTAGCAGTGACTAATAATATCAGTTCATTCTACTCTCTCGTACTAATAAAATAGTAGTCAGTTTGTGTTTTGCTACATTCTACGTCGTCGAGCTTACTGCAACGCAAGTCCTCGTATTGTTGACAGAATGACGTCCACGGCAACCGTCTCAGCTGGGCGGGCATCCAATGAAATCGGATTGGTCTGCGAGTCAGAATTCAGACAGTATCCATGGTATCATCAGTACTCTGGCGAGGAGAAAACTTGGGTGGTGGTCAGCGTTCAAGCGCCTCGGTGCCAGGAGGATGAAGACAACAAAATCAGTGGGACGTTTCGGGCACCGCTGGAGTTAGTCGCCGTGATTGATATAAGTACTGGCATGGGGAGGCGAGATAAACTTGACATGGTGAAGGAAACTATGCACTTCGTCATCCGACAATGTGAGTGGATTCTGTAATACGTAACCCGTCGTTGACCATGTTGACTGAGTACGCGGGTCAATATAGGAAGTAAAAGCCGAGTAAAGGACCGAGGTGAAGCCGAGGTCTTTTACAAGGTTTTTATTTCATACTGACCTAATACGAAGTCAAAGTTAGATTTATCACGACTAGCCAAAGCTAGCTCTTTCCCAAAGATGCCAACATATTTTGCAACTACTTGTATGTCTTATGCTTTTCGCAACCGTGCCAAAACAAGTGAAAGCTGCTGAAATCGCATCCATATTTTCAGAAAAAGCTCAAAAGTTGCTGATATCGCAACTCAAAAATGAGCGAGTTCTTGTGCACTAATGCCATAATTATCATACTTCATAGCGTCATTGCTCAGTGCTGCCACAGTATGCAAGTACATGTATATACTAGTACATGGATAAGGCCAAGTAAAAAAAAAAGCTAGATGATCGTCCCCGTCCGCCCCAGTTTTTGTCAGCGCCCCAAGAAATATTTTATTTTTTAAATCGTGAGTTTTACTATATGGACCACATACTACTAGTATATCACAACGTCAGTATCGATCTGCTGAAGAAAGAAAAAGAAAAAAAGAAAAAAAAAGAAAAAAAGAGAAAAAAAACCTTGATGTTGTTGTGTACACTGTGTGCATGAGAGGGTAAAAAGTAAAAAAATAAAAATAAAATCCTCCCGCCCTCCCCGATTTTTCCAAAAAAAAGGACGATCATCTAGTAATTTTTTTTACTCGGCCTAAACCTTGTTTTGTTGAAAAAATGTTGTTGGTTGACAGCACGCCTGTTCAAATGATAGCAAGGCCGGGGCTCTGCCAACCGTGGATGGTTGTAGTAAAGCCCCTGTTCCCGAACACAGTGCTCCTCCGCCTTGTAACATACTGTCAACCAACAAATGTACGATGCACATGTACATCATGCACATGTTCTTTGAGAAGTACACTTGTCATGATGATTTGATGCAATGTTTCAGCGCTTCTTGTTGAAGGGGAGCATCATCGACATTTCAATGGTCTCCTCCACGGCGCTTCTCTGCTCAAAGTTGCGAATTAGTTCGTGAAAACGAAGAAAGTTGTGAAATTTGCGATTTCTTCCAAAACAACCAAATGTTCCGAAGAAAGTGGCGAGTATCTTTGGGAAAGGGATAGCCAAAGCACGGGTTTATTCCCTAAAAAAAAGTCGAATATAAGCTGTCAATAGCCCTACTAGTAAGCCCGCTAAGGAGTGAAATATGCAGGAATATTTGACTGCTTAGGTATGACAAAAATCTATGGGAGTCAATACTAAGGGCTAGGGAGTGATAATAGTCGTTATCACTCCCTTAGGGGCTGTTAGGTTCGGTAGACAAGAGACAAGTAGTTTATTGGTTAGAATATACGAAGTAGAAAAACTGACAAGATTCAATCTGTAAACGACAGAGAAGACCTTCAAAGATATGCGTGCGTGCATACACAGTAGAGCTAAAGTTGTACGGCATTACGTCATAACATAACACGCCCCTTCGAAGATAAAATTCCATGGGTGTCAACCGGACACAAAATAACAAACACAGTAACATAATTATTATACTCTCACGCCCCTTCTGAGATAAAACCTGGTTTTGTCTCAACAAAAATAAATAAATAAAGTCATAACAGACGAGATGAAATGACATAGGCATGATGTCAAGATGAGACCAAATGCTACAGACAAACATTGTCACACATATGACTGTCCAGACGTAGATGTAATGGTGAGACGATCAGGTGTCTTGCGAATACGAGTGCTACGACGAACAGGCTGGGTAGCGGCGTCAGTAGGTACACGTACTGATGAAGTTGGGGAAGGGGTATGACTAGCGGAGTCAACACACGGGGGAACATACGGACGGAGAAAGCGGCGATTACGCCAGAGGACACGGCCACTGGGCATCTTGACGAAGTAGTCGCGCCAACTGCCAATTGCTACAATGACGCCACGCATGGACCACAGCTTGGTCTGGTGGTGCTGAACATCAACATGGGTGCCAATCCGTAGAGAATGGAGAGAGCGTGCCGATTTGTCATAATGTGTTTTCGGATCTACAGAGTCCACAGCTTCAGCAGACGCAATCCAGTGTCGATCAAAGCTGGCACGGTGGGCGAACACAAACGACTGGAGGAACTGACCGAACAACACTTGGGCGGGGCTGCTGCCATTAGGGCGGGGAGTATTGCGCCACTCCAACAGTCCGCGTTGGAAGGAGTCTACATCCAGATCTCCATTCCGGGTCGTCTTCTCAATGAGCAGTTTCACTGCTTTCACTGCTGATTCCGCGTGGCCATTGGATTGAGGGTAGTGTGGGGTGGAAAAGCACTGTTCCACACCCCAACGCTCACAGAACTCACGTACACGGGAAGCGGCAAACTGCGGGCCTCCATCAGTGAATATCTTGCGCGGTACGCCAACATCTGCGAACCAACGGCGGAAGTGACAAATGATGTCATGGGAGGTAGCGGTACGGCCAATTCGAGCTACACACGGCCAGCCGGACAGACGGTCAGAATATACCAGGAACTGCCAGCCTTGACAGGAGAAGAGATCTGCGCTGGCATACTCGAATGGAAATGTCGGCTGTGGCTCGCGCATCAATGGCTCCTTCTGCTGCGAACGTTGGAGCTCACGACAGACAGGGCAGGCACGGATCAGGGCTGTGATGTCATCACTCATCCTCGGCCAGTAAACCACTTGACGCGCACGACGCTTGGTACGTTCCAGGCCCTGGTGAGACGAATGCAGGTCAGTCAGTACACGGCGTTGTAGAGACTGGGGCACAACAAGACGAGAGCCACGGAGGACAATGCCGTTATCCAGGGTGAGGTGCTCACGGCCATTCCAATACGGAGCGAGAGCAGGTGGCATGTGACGTCTGGCAGAAGGGAAGCCGTCACGAATATATGAGACTAACTGCACGTAATCAACGTCAGACTGAGCGGCATCGCGGAGCTCGTGGAACGGAAGACCAAATAGTGCTGATCCGGAGTCATCCTGCTGAAGGCATGCACGGATGGCTTGTCCAGATAGCGAGTCGGCTTCTCCCAGGAGATCATCGGCAACCGGGTTCTGCACTGGAGCACGCGACAAGGCGTCAGCAAAGGCATGCTCAGAACCCTTGCGCCACGAGACGTCGAATTGATAGAGTTGTACCTTGGTCATCAGACGTTGGAGCCGAGGATTCTCAACCTGGTCCAGTGTGTATGTGTTCAATATTGGAACAAGGGGCTGATGGTCAACAACTACATGAAACGACATGCCAGCAAGATAGGTGTGGCATTTTCGGATGGCCCAGGCGACACCCAACATCTCCAGTTCGATCATTGCGTACCGGGATTCAGTGTCGGTGATGAATCTGCTGCCGCACTGAATGAGGCGCCACGAATTATTCTGGTACTGCCAGAGGCCAAATCCGAGACCCTTGGTCCTAGCTGCGTCACACTCGAGACGTGTCTGTGCTGACGGGTCGAAGAAGGCCAATAACGGTGGGTCAACAAGTGCTTGCTTCACAGCGTCCATAGCGACTGTGTGCTCGGGTAGCCAGAGAAACTCATTCTTGGCTTTCAGCAGACCGCGGAGAGGCGCTGCGTGTTCGGCGATGGTTGAGCTGAAATCACTGCACTGGTTGACGAGACCCATGAATGATCGCAAGTCAGTGCGATTGGCAGGGATCTCGAAGTCGGTGATAGCGCGGGTCTTTTCCTGGTCTGTCTTCCAGCCGGACTTGTTTATCACGTAGCCGCAGAAATTGATCTCGGTCTCGGCGAAAGCAAACTTCTTGGCTGACAGGGTGATACCATACCGACGAGCGCGTTGAAGAACTTCACGAGTTCGTTCCAGGTGCTGCTCAAAGGAATCAGTGAAGACCAGGCAGTCATCCACGACCTTGGAGAATTGCTCAATACCAGCGAATGCTGCATCGGTCCGCTGGTTGAATTCGTCGCCAGCAGAAATCAGACCTTGTGGGTTCCGCAGGTACTGATATCTGCCCCACTGTGTGATAAATGTGGTCAAGCTTCTGGACTCCTCGTCCAAGGGGACCTGCCAGTAGCCGTGGCGAGCATCCAGCTTGGTAAAATACTGGGCATTACCAAGGTTAGAAACAACATCGCGAGGTGCGCGCATGGGATGCGCGGGCCGGGCGACTTGCTTGTTAAGCTTAGTGAAATCCACCGTCATCCGGACTTCTGCAGTGCCTTTCTTTTCGGCTATGACGATGGGGTGACACCACTCCGTTGGCTCTGAGACCGGTGCGATGATGCCATCTGCGACCATCTTGTCCAGCTGGAGTTTCACCTGGTCACGATAGGCGTAAGGTAACCAACGGGCATTGTTCAACTTGAACGGCTGGGCGTCAGGCGCGAGTTGGATGTGCATCGGCTGACCGTCCATGGGTCGGAGCGTGTCCTCTGCAAATACGTCAGCGAACTCGTCGAGGAGGTCCTGGCGGATACGTACACGCTGGTCTGGTGTAGGGTTGCTGTGCTCTGCAGAACGGGATGTCCCTTGTGTCACTGAAGCGATCTGTGGCCAGTTAGGCGGCAAGAAACCTAACGCCTTGAGCGAGGAGCGCGACAGCAATGCGCTACTGAGTTCGTCATACACATGTAGACGAGTGGTGTGCGTGACATCACGAGCGACAACCCTGGCGGGAACAGTTCCCAAGCTGGTCAATGGCTGACCGTTCACAGCGACAACCTGGTCGGGGTCAGGTTCCAGATCAGCTACACTGCCACCAAGTCTGCGGAGATGACTAGCACCAATAGCATCAACATCCGAGCCAGTATCTGGCAACCACTCTAACGTGCACGACCGGTCGTTGTCGTCAAGACGTGTTGACAGCATCACTTTGTCACCAGCCTGCACTGCGTGAATGGTGAGGCATGCGATGGTCTTGCGGCACATTGCCGCGAAGTGATCCCTGCCCTTACACTTACGGCACTCTTTGCCCTTGGCAGGACACATTGACTTCGTGTGCTGGGATCGTCCGCACTGCGAGCACTTCGCCGGCTTGTCAGCTGCAGCAGATTTCGGCTTACTAACCAAAGCGGATTTGCTGTGTTGATACGATGACCTTGTTGCGGCATTCACGGATGCCGGTACCATGCCGTCACCGGTCTGCTGTGCGGCTTCTTCAGCCCTGCAGATCTTGGCCGCGGTTTCCAAGGTGAGGGACGGAGCTGCCAGGAGCTTATGGCGCGTGTCGTCGTTGGCTATGCCAACTACGATGCGGTCTCGCATCATGTCGTCCGTCACCTTGCGGAGGCTCTGGGGACAAGTACTGCGTAGCTGAGGTGTACACGTACTGCACAGCTCCATATCAGGGAAATCGCACTGTGCAAACAGCTCCCTCATTGCAGTAAAGAAGGAGTCAAATGACTCATTGCGCTGCTGCTTTCTATCGTAAAACGCAATTCGATCTAGGAGGGGGTTCCGTTGGCGTCGGATGTACGCTTTTACTGCTATGATGATCTCCGGAGCATCGGCACTGTGGGAGATGACAATCACATCTTCGCGCATGAAACGACGAATGTCGGCATCGAACGCCTGGCGAAGAGCGGACACCCGAGTCTCACGACTTTGGCTGGCGAGGTGCTGGCACACAGCATAATCTCTCCAAGCCTCCTCCCATGCCGTGAAATCGGCCATGGTTGCAGTGCTGAGCAACACCGGTCGCTCGACAGAAATCGGCTTCTGACTGCAGGATGTCGAAGTGCTGGGTGGTGCCTGGTTGTCGCGCGTTGCGTTTTCGACCAGTGTGGTGAGGCGAGTCTCGCGTGCCTCAGCCGCTTTCATCTGCTGCTGCATCAAGGCGAGCAGGGATACGATTTCAGCACTGATTGGGGAAATTCCAGGTTCCGCCATCACGACAATTCTACAAATTCTACAACTACAAGACACTTCTGCTACACGATCGATCGTTTGAAGATAAAAGGCTACAGAATTCACGGACAACTACAGGCTGTCAAGTATTCCGTACTCAGGTTACTAGTAGTTCACTGCGCCATGTTAGGTTCATCCTGTTCACTGCGCCATGTTAGGTTCGGTAGACAAGAGACAAGTAGTTTATTGGTTAGAATATACGAAGTAGAAAAACTGACAAGATTCAATCTGTAAACGACAGAGAAGACCTTCAAAGATATGCGTGCGTGCATACACAGTAGAGCTAAAGTTGTACGGCATTACGTCATAACATAACAGGGGCCGTCCGTAAATATCGATGTTTTTTTAGAGACGATATTGGTGCGTCTGGGGGGGAGGGGGTTTGAGCCATGTGCGTCTTTTCGAGCATCAGAAAAATATCGATGTAAATATCTGAAGTTTCACCGATCCCTGCACGCGGACGTCTAAATGGCTATACAAGAAATGTGAAACCAGCTTCCGTTCGCGGAGCTAAAACTCGCGACACAAGAACAAAATCAAAAATTGGAAGCTGTTCGCCCATGGCGAATTCCAAGAGCAAAAGAATGAGCTATTGATTGTGGAAATTCGGCCGAACGATGCCTGCAGGAGACCTTTTTCAAGACGTAGAGGCAGTGCGAACAAACACGGACGAACTCCACAAGAGTTTACAGTCTTCACTGTCTGAACAAGGATTTTAAAAAATTCAAGCCCGAGCGTAGCCGCTTTGGCTACACCAGTACACGATGAGTTGCACTTTGAACGCTTTTTGTACGATGAGTTGTACTGCACGGGTAGCGCTAGCGCGCCAGCGCCCTCATCTTTTCATGTAAAATGTGAATTTTGACTGGCCGTGCCTGAAGTTTGTTCTTTGTATTGTATTGTATTGTATTTATTTAAAAGGATTCTCCAAAAGCAAATGGATGCTTATCACGGAAGTCTCCCACATAAATATCGCAAGAAAAATGGGGAAATGGGGGAGAGGAGAGTGGAAGATGAAGCATGGGAAGAAGGGAAACAAGTACCTAAATATCGAGGTATAAAAGCAGGAAAGAAATCGACGAGGGAAGAAATCACCTCTGCAGATAATAGCGGGACATTTAGATGAAAAAAACCAGCAAGGATTAATTTCAAGGAAAAAAATTTCTCAAACGGAAAAGTTCGGAATTCCATTGTCGAGAGAGAAGTTGAGGAAGTTGTGAACCGCATGGCCATGGCAAAGTGACAGGTTAGCTGTGAAAATGTCGTCTTCACCACCGCCCAAGAAACGGAAAACGAAACAGTTGACGTTGTTTGGGGGTTGTGTAGTCGATACAGGAATTTACAAAAAGTCGAATCCCTCTTCATACGAAGAGTTCATTGATGCGTTCGTGGAACGTTATGGTGATGGCGCAGTCCGTGCCGATGTTGTTCGACAAGCGCAGGCAAAATGGAGTAGTCTAAAGGACAATGAAGCCGGTGTCCGCGAGTTCGTTCCTGAGGTTGGCAAATGGAAAGCGGCCCAAGAGAGCAGCCAGGGTTCATATTATTGCCAAAAAAAGGAAAAAAATGAGCATCCAAAAATATTGATTCCATGATCTAGATGTACATGTGCGTCTTCTGGGGGGAGGGGGGGGGGTCAAGGGAGGGAAGCACCAATATCGTCTCTAAAAAAACATCGATATTTACGGACGGCCCCTTAGTATTGACTCACATAGATTTTTGCCATACCTAAGCAGTCAAATATTCCTGCATATTTCACTCCTTAGGGCTATATTGACTGCTTAGGACTAGTCGCGCAGTTGAACAGTGCCTAGTGCAGCATTGTCACTGCATGAGTAGGTGGTGGTGCAACGGTTGTGCAATCATAAAACCGGGATTCACGAGGTTATCGTTTTGGAATTTGAAATACGGACTGTTTGTCGTGATAAATCTAATATTGACTTCGTACTTGGTCAGTATAGGAAATTAAAAATTAAATTAAAACCTCGTAAAAGACCTCGGCTTCGCCTCGGTCTTTTACTCGGCTTTTATTTCCTATATTGACCTCGTACTCAGTCAATATTAGATACATATTTTTTATAATTATTTATGTCAACATACTGTTACATGACATTATACTACAATTATAGTAGATCTACATACTGTGTTTGTGACGCGTCCCAGACCAAGTGCAGCCGTGGCAAGTGAAATCCTACACACCCCGTAAGGCCTGGTCATTGGCTACCCCAGCCATGTATTGCTTGGAATAAAAAAGTTAATAAATAGTTAAAAACTTAGAAGTTGCGACAATCAACTTCATAAATAAATAAATACCACTATATCCATGATATCGGCATTAGCCGGCATTTTTTGGCAACGACTGTAGTACTAGTAGTAGTAGTAGAACTCCTGGAATGATGCACAGTATCTTGTGCGTTGCTCGTCTCCACACAAACATAGCAGTTGAACCTAATACTTGGTACAATCCACCACGGTCAATGGAAACTGAGACAAAATGGTAGAGAAAACAGTATGTACACGATGACATACTGCATGCCTCTGTGGGCTGGTGCACCGGTCTGCTATGACAGAAACTCCTTGAAGGCTATATTTCGAAGTAATTATTATACATGTGTATCCCCTAAAATTGTATGCTTAAACTTTTCAGCCTCAGCCCTGATCATTCAGAGACTACCTTCAATTCCTGTGTGACTTCATCTAATGTGACTTTCTCTTCATGTGTTATGTTGATAGTGAATGAACACGACAAGCTGGGGATCGTGGTTTACGACGAGGAAGTGACATCAACTGGTTCACTCTGGAGGATGGATGCGAGCGGGAAAGCCGAAGCAACCTCTCTCATTGAGCTCTTGCATACAAAAATAGGCACAAATATATGTGGAGGACTTGTGGAAGGGTTGGCCATAATTGAAAATCTGCAGAAAGAAAATTCCAGTGGAGAGACAAATGCCGAAAAGAAGAAGAAATCTGTGTCGTCTATTCTTCTGATGACGGATGGTGAGGTCGATGCGGGCTACATCTCAGAGCAAGGAATAATGTCTTGCTTAACACAGCGAGGCCGCCGTGGCTTGTATCCTTCTGGCAACTACCGTGCTCATAACATTTTCACGGCTCCAACACCAGAACAGACAGTACCACCTCCATCTCCACCATCACCAGAACCGACAGTACCACTTCCATCTCCACCATCACCACAACACTGCCCATCACAACTGCCAACTCTATCACCAGCAGCATTAAATCCACCACTACAACCATCTCCACAGGTAGCGTCGGCACCAGCAACAACACCTGTAGTAGCCTCTACAATAGCTAATTCTACTGAACTTAGTGACATTGTGGCTGCAAGTATTTACACCTTTAGCTTTGGTGCTGATAACAATGCCGAGTTGTTGCAAGCAGTGAGTAAGGCTGGTAATGGAATGTACTACTACATTGACTCTTCGGAGAAGATTCCAGAGTCATTTGCCGACTGCTTGGGTGGATTGCTTAGCACAGTTGTGCGTTATATATCCCTGGAAGTCTCGGCTGAGAACAATTGTAACATAATCGCAGCTTATGCGGGCCGAAGTACCCAATCAAGTGGTAGTGGTGTTGCTATTACATTGCCACTGGCAGATATCCAGTCAGAAGAATGCCGCGACTGTGTGTTCTGCTTGGATCAGCCTGATGTACCCAATGAGCTTGATGAGTTTACTATTCTCAAGGCTAAGCTGACCTGCTTCAATGTCATCACAAGTATGCTGGAGATGAAGGAAGCGTCCCTGGAAGTACGCAGAGTCAAGCAACTTCAAGCTGGTCTCCAACCCAACCTGCAAGTTAACGATCACTATAACCGCATCACATCAGCTAAGGCCCTTAAAAGAGCTCTCTCATGGGCAGACAAAGGAGATATTCCTATGGCAATAAACCGGCTGGATAGGGCGGTAAGAATCATTGAACCTGATGTACAAACATATAAAGTAACCGCGGAGCAAGACACATGGTAAATGTGCATCTAGTACACACTGTGCATTTCAAGAAGAAGTACCGCTCTCCTCAAATGAAAATCCGATCAAGTGAGTGAATGCCTGGCCGGGCGCTGTACAGCCATAGACCTGCGAATACTGGGATGCGAACTGGTGCGGGGCTCAAACTGGTGCGGGGCTCAAACTGGTGCGGGGCTCAAACTGGTGCGGGGCTCAAACTGGCGCGGGGCTCAAACCGATTCACCCAATCGGATTTCTTTTAGCAGCACTGTGCTTGAAGCTCAAAAAGGAACAGGACTACAACTTCTATGGTGAAAAATAAAGAGATAACAACACTTAGGAGGAGGTAGTAAAAATTTATCCACGACATCCAGATTTTGAGCCATTCCCGCATACAATCCTTGAAAAGCAGGAAACGAAAACGTTCGACACGGTATGAGAAGCATCTTCCTGACTGGTTGTATGAACTGCGTCGAGATATGCCATCTTAACTTCATTCTTAAACCATCTGTCGCTCCCTACTGCTAAGTACATTAAGAATCGCAATGAATACGCTAATGTGTGCAGTCATTCTGTACATGCATCTGTATGCGACATCTCTAAGTTTCTGGTGATGGTCTTCAGTTAGACGAAGATGATACGTACATTTTGTTTCATTATATTGTTACAGGGTTCTATCCAAAGGAGGTAGGGGGCAGCGCCCCCCCCCCCCCCCCCCCCTACTCTGATTGAGCCTCCCCCCCCCCCCTGTGAAGTGGCGCCCGTACTAATTTGTCGATTTTTACGGGCTTCTTTCAGGCCATTCAACAAAAAATGCAGTTGATATTCGCGAAGAGGGGGTTCATAAAGCGTTCGCTCGGCTGGGAGAGCCCCTTACGTTGCATTTGCATGGCAAGACATTTTAGGGAAATGCAAAAATGGGTAATGGGGTAACTGCATCAACTGCCCCTCTCCACCCCCCCCCCCCCCGAAATTGAGATTGAAGATGATAGCCAGGACACTGTACAATTATGTACATGTATATCCAGAGCTAGACAGCAGCAGTGCACTGACCTAGATATTTTCTATTGCTGTACTTCAGCTTGATTTGACTGAGTTAGAATCCGTAGAGGTTCGTAAAGGATTATCTGTCAAGTATTGGGCCTGTTTCAAAGAGTAAAACCCAGCCTTTGTGTGCTTGTGCATATCCTGTCTTTTCACACTGTACAGGATACATTGTAGTTCACACAGTCCTCGCTAGTCTAAACAATGCGGATTGTACACCGCCATACACAACCCGCAGCAGCCATTCCAAATAATTGAGCATCCAGATAGTGGAGATTGGGATAAACAGGGTTGTGCGGCTTGTGATGATGCTGGTGTCCTGCTACTGTACTTATTCTGTGACTGAAGTAATTTTGCAGATGTGAGGTTGTTGGTTACGGGTAGTTGTGGTTGAAGCATCAAGTAATTGACACTAGGGGTGTACAGTCAACTTCACGTATAACGACACTCGGCGGGGCATCAGAATAGTGTCCTTATACCCGAAGTCTCACTGTAATATTTATATATTACAGTGGACAGTCAAATGTTTTCTTCAGACTTTTCCCGTTTGTCTCTTTTCCTCAAACTAGTGAAGGTGTTACAGTTTGATGGGACTTTGCTCTGGGCATGGAAATTGTGTCGTTATTAGCGAAGTTGACTATACATGTGGTTCCAAGTGTATTCACATCCCTCTGAAAGTGGGCCCAGGAAAGTACTGAAAGGTCGGACTTGCATCATAGCACTACTGTAAATGTTTAGACCCCAGGGAAAAATTCTGTGAAATACGTGCAAGCAGTATCACCAATACCGTAGAATCCCGCGGATAAGCCCATGGGCTTATGGGCTTATCTGTTTCACAAGGACATTTCGGTGGGCTTATACAAGAACATGGGCTTATACGCGGGCATGGGCTTGTACGCTGACACCAAGCTATTGAAAAGTATCAAGGAAGTGAGAAGTACATTGCTGAAAACCAATGTGCAAACAAAAACAACCGATGATTGTGCTGAAATGTACGAATATAACTATAATGTGCATGACTACGTACATGTACATGTACATGGTATGGCCAAGAGTCCATAATTTATGGACTCTCGGTATGACATAAGCCCATAGGCTTGTACGATGAAGCTTTGCGATGTTCGAACAAACCCTGGGCTTATGCGCGGGCATGGGCTTATACGCGGGTGGGCTTATCCGCAGGATTCTACGGTATTAGATAAACAAGAGTGTGCAACTCCAGATCTCTTTTGCACAATCTGCAGATTCCCCTGCCGGCGGCGGAATTTTTGTTGACGTCACCTTCTTTTCAGAAAAACGCGCATTTTGCCGCAGAACGGTGTGAGAGTACGTGCTAGGCACCGACCTTGTAATGTAAAGCCCGGCCAAGTGCATGAGGCAAAACTTTCCAAAAGACTCGCAGCACGTGCGTCGTAGAAAGATTACGTCAACAAAAAATTCCGCCGCACGCCAACCCATCCCGAAGTTGCACACTCCTGTTTATCTACTCTTGGTATCACTATGCAAGCTTTTCTTACACAGTTCTTCATGACCATTCACACTGACTCTGACAGTGATAGGCATGCCTATCTTGCTAGCATGCTGCATCCGAACTAAAGTCATTATAAACTACTCTTTATGTAATGCCACATTTTGAAGTTATTTCCACATTACAAATTTATTCCTTGGTTCATCATCTGAGCTCTTATAAAACACGCTTTATGTTCTCTGTTGTCCACTGAGCTCTTATAAAACACGCTTTATGTTCTCTGTTGTCCACCTCTGGATGCGTGCAGCAAAGAATCATAGTCCGAAAGAATGAATTCGCCGCTTACCCACTTTCAGGAGAGCTGGAGCATGACGGAACCAAGCAAGGTTATGACGAGGACAGCATATCCCTCCCTTCAATATGATGCCGGTCTGATCAGATGCTCAGCGTTGGCAGTAGGGCTGATCAAGTTCCACCGCCAATGACATACATGCTCCAACCTTACCAACCAGGCTGTCTAGCGGTGCGCATCTGTTACTGTCTCAGTGTATGTGTAAGTCTTTTGGAGGTTTCGTTAAAAAATAAAAAAGCATTTCGAGGACGGATCGCTCACAAATAATCTACAAAGTATATTGTTCTGTAATGTTCCGTATTGTTCTGTATTGTTTTGTGTTGTTTTGATTATTTAGGAAAATGGATTGTCTATTCCCTCAAATGAATGACCTTTACCCAGGCACCTCAGATGTGGGGTGTCTCTCAAACAAACCCCTTCAGCTCGCTTTACACTGCACTTATTTGTGGCGTTATTGTTTTGTCCCGTCGTTTCCGAGGCCGTAAGAGACACAATGAATGCATGTTGTGCTTACATATACATGTCCCATTCCGCGCTGCAGCCCATAGGCATAGAGATAACGTACTGTAGGCTGTACGTGAACAGTTATGAACAAATAATCGTTGTTTGAATTCAGAGATCCCCACAAGTACACTGGAGTGGAATGCACTTGGGAAGTGGAAGAGTGGAATGCACTTGGTAGCATAGATTTTATGATACTTGCACAATGTGCATGAAACTAATGTCACCGTGGACAAAAGCAATCCCAGGCCCGTTTTGAGGAGAAGTACAATGTCATGTACATCTATGTCAAAATTCCCAGAGGACCCCCCCCCCCCCCCCCCCGCCATGGATTTTAATCGTTTTATTGATTAAACTCGGATGGAGAGCCAAGGATTAAAATTATAAAAAAGAGAGGACCACAAGTTTACACGTTGTCCAACACTAACGATTATAAGCTTGGACAAAATGGATAACTTGTAAATGTATGGCAGGGCTGCCACTTGCTCCGATTTTTCGGAAATCGTCAGATTTTTGATCGCCTGTCCGACAAACCGACCGATTTTGTTCCCCAAGAGGGACAACCGATTATTTTATTTTGAGCGCGTTTTAGTCCAGTTGACCATTAATTCATAATTGACATGGTTGTAGTGCGTGTGCTGGACAGTTAAAAATGTGTTCTGGGGCCCCAACAGCAAACCATTTTTCTAAAAAAAATCACCACGGTGGCCCTGCCCCCTGCACCCCCGCCGGGGGAAACCCCTGGACCACCACGACAGATTTTTCTCCCTCCAAGTGTGGCATCCCTGGTATGGTCCTTTCTTTTTTTAATTTTATTGATTATGCCTTCTGGCCCGAAGCCATCGGCCACTCAGTATGCAAGTGGCGTTTGCAGACAGCCCCAAAGTGACGAAGCCAGCTTCCAAGTAGATGTCCCATTCTAAATCCGCAGGCTCGCCCCTTTTCCCCTTCCAACCAGTCTCACCCAGTACCCGTTAATGTTAATTTCTCCCCCACTTCCTACCCACAGGGACTCGCAATTCGCATTGGACATATTAATATTTGTAGTTTGAGGCATAAAACACATATTATTGAAGAGCTCATGCCGTCATGGAGCAGCATACACTAGACATCTTGGCAGGTACAGAAACGTGGCTCGACAACAGTATCTCCAACGCAGCGATATCAATACACTGCATGACATTGTTCCGAAGAGATAGAGCATGCAAACCAAACTGCTCCTGCCTAACCACCTGCAACCTGAAAGGTTGGAGGTGTATGCATAGACGTGAGGAACACAGTGAGTGCTTCTGTAGAAACGAACTATACAAACCCCCTCCTGGAATTATCTTGGGTGAGGATCCAAATCGGCCGCCGTGATAATATCCTCGTCGGATGCCTTACCACCCCATCCATTGCAGTGAACAGATTTCGTACTTCTGATGGTGTCAATTCCTTTTCTAACCATGCTGCATTGTTCTTTAAATAATGCACTACACTCTGAACTCCGCAGTTCTTCACACACTAAGCATTTCATGCCGAAATTCAACAACTTGTCGAAGGACCCAATGCAGGTCAACCGCTTTCTTAACTTCCTTTTTGGCCGAGTTACCAATGTGTAGTGAACGTTGTATATCCTTGAGTGACCGTTGTATATCCGTATTGACTTCTTTTTCCTTGGTGCAAGTCACACTCCATGTATGTTCTTCATTATCTTTCTTTACCTTTACTGGGTCTTCACATTGTCGATATAGCCTCATCTTTTAACTTTTCTTTTTCCTTTTTGCCTCATCGGCGCTCTTTGAATTTGTGTGTCAACACTGTTGAGTTGTTCGATGTTAAATAAATACTACATGTACTACTATTAAAAAAAGTAAATTATTGTGTGCGTTCCCGAAGGGAACTCATTTTATTGATTGCCGGATTATTATTATTATTTTCACAGTTACTCTTACATGTAACTCGTAACCATGGTAACCAAGGAACAGTATAGGGCTTGAAAGTGCTACGTCACAGCATAGCAACAATTTCAAAAATTCAAAAACTGGATCCACTTGGATCCAGTCTTTGTATGGATCCAAGCACATTTCACGCGGTCTTACCCACAGCATGGTGAAACTGACTGATTTGGCTACTGGGGGCGGGGTTACAACTGGTGGCGAAATAAAAGTCACACCTGCATGCGACATGAGTGGGTTGCTATGCACCCACATACTTAGGCAATAGCAAAGTCACACCTTAGTGGATCCAAAAATAGAAATCTGATGTCAACTTACTACTCCCTGGCCGTTTTGACGTTTTGACTTTCAAGCCCTATTATGTTCCTTTTCTTTATCTAAATTTTATTATTGGCTCAACATCTGAGTTTAATATTATTTCCTCCTCTAATAAAGGGGAAGTTAAGGCTAAAATCAAAATTTCACCAGTTGTAGTCTTTGGGGTAGAGGAGAGAGAGAGAGAGAGAGAGAGAGAGAGAGAGAGAGAGAGAGAGAGAGAGAGAGAGAGAGAGAGAGAGAGAGAGAGAGAGAGAGAGAGAGAGAGAGAGAGAGAGAGAGAGAGAGGAGGGATGGAGGGAGGGAGGGATGGAGGGAGGGAGAGAGAGAGGGGGGGGGGGGGGAGGGAGGAAGGGACACAGAGACTGACAGAGAGAGACACACAGAGAGACAGAGACAGAGGTACATGTATGATGTAGAATGTACTAATAACAGAGATACATGTCGATGAGAGATGCTTTCAAATCATGAGAAACGTATTGCCTTTACATCATGACGGTATGGTATGTTGGTATGTTATTGTCTGGATCACAACACGCGGTCGTCCACGTCACAACTAGTTCACCAACATTTTAAGGACCGGACTCATCGCTCATATAGCTCTAACTCTCTCTCTCTCTCTCTGTCTCTCTTCTCGATCTCTCTCTCTCTCTCTCTCTCTTCTCGGTCTCCCTCGGTCTCTCTCTCTCTTCTCGGTCTCCGTTGGTCTCTCTCTCTCTCTCTCTCTCTCTCCCTCCCTTGGGCAGCGCGTGAGCGAGACTTGTGTTGTTTCATGATCCACTTGCTTGTGGGCAGATGCTGAGACACCCCACTGGATTCACAGACTTTTCACACAATACCGTGAAAGTCCGCAAATACACACCCGAAATAAAAACCTCTTTGTCCTTTTGACTCTGTTGAAGTCAAGCTTTAGCCCGATACATATCGAATGCCCAAATACCTACCGATGTACAGTCTATGACTGCAGAAGGTAGCATCATGTCATGCCCATGTGTACAAGTGAATGCTACGGCATGCACATGAGAAAAATAACTTCTCCACAATGCACATGCCAGGTCCGTGAACTGCAGTGCTGCCAAACCGGCCGATTTTTCGGACAGTGTCCAATTTTTGAAGGCTCTTCCGAAAACCGGTCCGAAAAAGGTTATGTCCGAAAAGCAGCCAAAAATGTCAGGGGTCAGTACTTTCCCATGCAGAAGCCCTGTATTTTCACTTTTGAGCGAAACTCTGAATGCACAAAGCACTGTACGAGCGCTCGAGCTTCTAAAAGCACGCATGCATTACAAAATTCATGAGAATTGCTGGGCGCCGTGTTGGTTACCATGGCAAGGAAGCGAAAACGAAGCTTCCCCTTCTTTACTTATCTTTGATATTTATGACCCACCCAAGTTGGGTGGTGTGCTGCTTTGCTGCTTCGAATTGTAGTTAGACCGCTTTGTCAAATATCTTACTGGTCTCATCATAGTCCAGTAACAATCGACATTCTTTGTTCTGTTGGGACTGTAGCTTGTGCTCATTTTCGTTGCGCTTGCCTTCCCCTCTTTGGTCTTACCATAACCTTGAACCTTCCAAGTTGGAAGGCTGTCGGTTAGCGCTACGGAGATGTGTTGAAGCTAGGTGTCAGGACGTCGAATGTCTCAGTTCTCTGTCAGTTTTGTGCCTAGTTGTTGCACTTTCTGACTGTATATAGTATCTGGTTGCAGTGATGGAGAGTTACTCTCAACTCGTATCTATATTTCTTTCCTTTCTACATTTATTATTGGCTCAACATCCGAATTACAAGATTATTACACCATCACATTACATGTCAGCACATGACAGCACATGACAGTACAGGCAAATATAAGTTGAACGGACGACAAGATAGAAGTAACCACGTGGATATGGAGCACCTCTCAACACCTACCGTACTGTACGGTAGCACGAGTCTATCCTTCATGACGTGACTGTCCTCAGGGTCCTCAAACTAGTGGAGGGCTTTCCTCGATCAAAAAGATCCAGCCCAAAAGGAGAAAAATAATCACGGGTTCTCGGTAGATTTTTGGTCGAGTCGTGGAGATCATACGCGACTGCACCAAAAGTTGCAACGGATTTGGGGGCTGGCCTGCATTGTCGTAGACTCTACGTAGTCTATACTGCCTGGGCCAGGTAGGTGGCCGAGGTGTGATTTTGAGCACCACTCGTAGATCTACACTCGTCCTAATACTACAGGTCTGCTCTCGATATAACAACTCTCACTTGTACATAAACCTCGCTAGTAAGTAAAAAAATCAAATCCCACGCCGAAACAGCATCACTCCCATACAAATTTTGTTCTACACAACATAATCCTACTTAACGTAAACCTCGACAAAACACACGCTACGGCGCGGTCCCCGACGTGCACACTCTCGATACAACGTAAATTCACCTGCACGGTACGATCAAGCAGTAGCTGTAGCTAGGCAGTTTAGGCCAGTTTAGTCCTACAAAACGTAAACCTCGGCATAACGCACCCTATGGCGCGCTCCCCGACGTGCGCACTCTCGATACAACGTAGAATCACGTGCGCGGTACGATCAAGCTGTAGCCGTAGCTAGCCAGTTTAGTCCTATTGTGCATATATTCTGCGGCATTGATGGTATCTGATGTCGACGGTGGTACAGTGCGTATATGTTTGCACGGTTATACCTGCCTTGTAATACCCTTCATTTTGAGGTACATCTTGTATTTTCTACATAACATAACTCTCGATATAACATGATTTTTGCGTGATCCCAGAGATTACGTTATATGGAGAGTAGACCTGTAGTAGTACCCGGTGGTAGCATTTTTTATTATATTTTTTTACAAAAAAACACACACCATTTGATGGCACAAAGCAGCAAGGCAGCGATGAGATATGGAATGGCAGGAGTGGGGGAGAGGCAGGGGCAGCTTGACCGACCATAGGGTCTCAGCATTGGCCAAGCACCAAGACAGGCCCACTCACGCTAGCGCCGTGAGTGGTGGAGGAACCGTGCACATACAAACAAAGACGGTCGGAGCAGGAAGTAGAAGTCGAACGGCAAGAAATCTTCGATAATTCTAGACAATTGACTTGGAGGACTTATTGTGTGTGGGGGACACGTGGGCTAGTTTCCAGGAAGCTGGCTGGACCCCTGCTCTAAAGCAGCAAGAGAACAAGCGAGCAGCAGGCTCTGCCAGCTTCCTGAGGCATTCCTTGAGGACTCTAGCTGATATGCCGTCGGGGCCAGTGGCCTTGTGCGGATTCAGCGCCGCTAGTTGTTGACGACGGACATTGGCTGGACGAAAGTGGATGGCTGTGATCTGATGTGCCAAGTCATGAAGTTGTATAGAAGGGAGCTGGTCAGAGAAATTGTTGGAGCCAAGGCTGCACTTTGGGCAAAGTATTGGGCAAAGCACTCGGCTTTCCCCCTCTCAGTGGTATGCTCGTGTCCAGATCTGTCAACCAAAACAGGTATATCGCTTTGGCGGGTAACACCAGCAGCTCGCGCAATATATGTCCACCATTGCTTGTCTTGCAAGGAGCCAGATGACAGCTTTCTAGAAGCTCGCTGCTTGAATTGCTGTTGGGCCTGCTGCAGAACATGCACTCAATGTGTGACAGATGCCAGGAAGGTTCCTTTCTGTTGTAAGCTATCAGGGTCTTGCCTCCAAACTCTCCAGGCTTGTTGCTTTAGGTGTACAGCTTGCTGGCAGGCAGGTGTCCACCAAACCAGGTCAGTGGCCATTACTTTAATTGTCTTGGAGGGACTAAACTGAGACATGGAATCACGCACAATTCCTGTGAGGGCTTCACAAGCAGCGTCAGGGTCAGTTGATAGGACAGTTGGCCAGTCAGTGCGGCTAAGATGTGCGCGCATCCTTCCCCAGTCTGCTCTAGCATACTGCCAGACGGTTCTTAGGGCCGGTTGCTCCTTGCGGGGACATACGGTCTTGAACTTCGCTAGGATAGTGACATAGTCGTTTTTCAAGGTTTACCCTCTCCCTTTTTCTGACAATAATTACATAGTCCAATAAAGCCAACTATTTAGCAAGACCATGCACTGCAAATGCGAAGAACTACCGAGCAAGTCGCGCTCAGTAACCTAAGAAGGCGATTGGCAGTGCATGTTCTTGCTAAGAGCCACAAATCCTGTCTAGTAAACGAAAACGTTCGGTTACTAAATTGGCTTTACTTGACCATCATAATAATAACAATAGTAATCAAATTAAATGTGTATATTACAGTGCACCATGATTACCCATGTAACCGTGGCAACTGTTGAACACTACCGTATTTGTGCACACCCTAGTAGTAGCGTAGGAACCCAATCCTTCTTACTCCCACAATCATGCCGGAGGCAAACATGGCAGCAGCGCACTATGTAGGGCATTGGTCAATGAAACTGATGCGTCAGCATGGCTATAGTGTAAGGGACCGTTGTGTGGATGTAATGTTCCGCTTTATTTACACCAGACAACCATCCGCAGAAGTATCGTAATCACGCTTTGTACTACACCTAACCATTCATTTTATCAGAGATTGACTATTCGTATCATATAAATGAAAATTCAAAATAACAGTGTACTGACCAAGATCCACCAGCTTGAATGTACGAGCAGCTCATCTCCTAGCAGGATGCATTCCACTACTGTAGGAGAAGCTAGCAAGGACCAGCCTTGCTTTCTTTAGCGCAATAGAATAGGAGTTTTCACCGCTTGACGGAAAATAATAGTGTTCAATCATACTCGTCGTCGTCATCATCGTCGTCGTCATCATCATCGTCATCATCCTCGTCATCATCGTCGCTATCAACAGCCTTCGGTGCCCCACCGCCCCCAGCCCCACCAGCCGGTGGAGCAGGCGCATCCGGATCTTCCATGAGATCAGGATTAAGGCCTTCTGCAACCATCTTAGCACGGAATGCAGCTACAGGAACTCCAATCTTGATCAAATTGAAATACTTCATATACCTCGGGTCCTTGCTGATCGGTGTAGCCGAAACAGCAGCGCCTGTCGCACCAGTTGCAGTTGAGGAGTCATCATCAAAGTCGCTATCACTGTCACTGTCTCGACTTGGAGCAGCTTGTGGTGCAGTACTACTACTGGCTGGTGCTCGTGCCGCTGTGTCAGATGCTTTGCTAGCCGACGCTACACTACTAGACCCATCTGTTGTCGTTTTGCTGTTAGCGCTGGTTGCTGGCGTGGAGGGTGCTGAAGGCGCAGAGCTCGTGCCAGCCTGAGCGCCTGTTGCACTACCAGCCGCTACAAGGCAAGCGGGCGGTTGGTACTGCTCGCCTGTAACGGATTCCAGACCTGCAATAGAACTGAGCTTCGTGTCCAGAATATTCACTGTGACCTCCATGCGCCGTATTCTCTCCTCTACCGCTGACAGTTTCTCCTCACAAGAACTGGAAAAACGGTTCAGGAAATGCACGGTATGTATGGCAAAATGATTGATGAAAGCCAACGTTCGCTTGTGTTGGACTGGCTCCACCTTGGTGTAGTCCACACCGACGTCCACGAGGGACAGACCCCTTACTTTGTCCTCTTCCAACATCCTTGAAAAGAAACTTTACCGGTGTAGACTGTAGTACTTGGTTTCTCTCTCCAAATCAAAAACTGGGCTACTGTCGACTGTACTGTATTCTACGCGGCTATCAAAATGTTATTAATTATTTTTTTTTTATGTCCTTCCTCGCAACTTTTTCGTCATCATGCGGATTCATGGTGTCAATGTCAATGTCATGGTGATATGCAGGTCGAGTGTGCCTTTGCCTTTGGCTTTGGCCCAGTTTGGGCCTGGCTTGGCTTCTGCTGATCATCTTGTAGTACTTCACTATTTTACCGTCTTTACTAAGCTAATACTACAATTGCACATCAGAGGCTCCGCTCCATGTAACACTGTAGTGGCCCTACATTTTTACTGCATAAATAACCAGTTTTCAAAGCTTTTTTTTTTTTTTTCTTTTTTTCTTTCGTTCCTACACCATAACACGCATGCTCGGCCAGTCCTTCCTCGGCCTTGTTTTTACTGCATTTTCTGCGTAGTTTGCATTGCATGCCTCTTCGAGTTTTTCCAAAATATCTCCACGATGGACGCTGTTTTGGATTTGCTGCATACCCTGGCGCAGCCAGAGGTACAATCTGCCATCGCGGCATCCGCCCACTCCCGCGGAAAACAAATAGGAGACACCGTTTCGGGGAACGGTATACAAATTTCCTCAAATTCCGCACCCACGGGCGGATTAGAAACTGGTCGTGGCACCACCGCAGCCTCTGGCGGTCAAGAAATGGAGGAGGCTCGGAACTCTTCCAACAGGGAAGGGAACCAGGATGACTCTCGGGTAGACGGCGGGGAGCCTTTTCGTTTTGTCTCATTGGCCGAACGTCGTTCGGCAAGCCTCGGTTTTTCCACGGACCGCCATTCCAGCAATGGCGGCCGGGGCCATATTAGGGGTGACGGCACTGACGTATCTGGGTCACGTGATTTACGTACAGATAGATCTAGATCATGCTCACGGGACAGATCTCCACCCCACTCACGATCTCCCCCTCGTTATCGTTCTGCTTCATGTGAACGACGTACACGTACTCGCCATAGATCGGCGGGTGCTACACGTACACGTAGATCTAGATCTAGATCTCAATCTGCGGACAGATGTCGCGACGTCGGTCAGGGTCACGCTCGGGTGCTACGCACGAGTCCCGCCTGAGTGCCCGGGGACGACATGGCCATGGGTCACCCAGACGGCGCGAGTCGCACCGTTTCACCAGGCACCGAGATAGTTCTGGCACTAGTTCTAGCTCTGGTACGTCAGAATCTGACGATAGTGACTCCGACAGTCCTAGTGGCACATGTCCGTCATCCGACGACTCGGCTGCCCAAGAGCATCGCCGTGGTAGCGGCGCGGGCTTCGATCCTAAGGGGTTAGTGGACGACTCTGTATGGTCTCCCCCCTCGCACATGGCCTCGTACCTACGGGAGCACTGCCGTGGTTCCCTGTCCTTCGCTGAGCGTCGACGGGTGCGGAAACTGTGTCCCCGACCGGACGTGGAGGAAACGCGATGTCCACGCGTGGACCCGTTCTTGTCGGATGTCCAGGGCCTGGCCAATGCCAAGAGAGCGGATAGAATGCTGGCCAACATCCAACAAAAGGTTACGGACGTTTTCCGTCCCCTGGCCGCGCTCTGGGCTGCTATTGAGCAGGGCCGGCCGGTCCACGAACTGACCGAGCTGGTCCAGATGGCGATCGTCATGACGGGCGACGCCTCGAATGTATTGTCGGAGACACGCCGTCAGCGCCTCATGGCAGCGCTGCCAAAGAGATGCCCGAAGAGCCTGCTGCAGGGCTTGCGTCCTTCCGGTGATCTCCTCTTCGGTGATGGATTTTCCCGGGAGTATAAACGGAAGTGCCAGGAAATGGACGTATTCCAGCCACGGCCTTCTGGGCGGCGCCCGGGGACCGCACAGGACCGGTCGCAGCCTGCCCGTCCTGACCGTTTTTCTGGTCGTATCATGTACCGGTCAGATCCAGGGCGGTTCCGCCCTTACGACAGGGCAGGACGGGGTCATGTCACCCGCCGGCCTGAGGAGCATTTCCGCCAGCCAGCAAAAAACGGCCGGGGCCAGCCCTTTCGCGGGCGCCCTCGAGGTCGTTGACGACCTCCCCCGTGCCTGGCTGCCTCACGGAAGCCCCTACCCCCCAGGTAGCGGGCCGATTGGAGCATTTTGCGGCAGCCTGGCGAGACCTAACGCAGGATGCGTGGGTGTTGAAGACCGTCTCAGGGTACTGCTTAGACCTCCACACCGTTCCTTGCCAGCGGTCCGCTCCGACAGAGATGTGGTTCCCTCCCGAAAAATGCGCCATCGTCCACCAGGAGATAGAGGATCTCCTATCCAAGGGTGCAATTCGACCGGTGAGCCCATCTCCCGGCCAGTTCGTGAGCCGGTTATTCACCGTACCCAAGAAGGGTACCACCGCCGAACGTCCAGTCATCGACCTCCGCCACCTGAACGAGCACGTGCGGTACGAGCACTTCCAGATGGAGGGTCTCCACCTTGTTCCCCTATCCGTCCGAGAGGGCAATTGGCTCACAAAGCTAGACCTCAAGGACGCGTACTTCACCGTGCCGATCCATCCCCAACACCGCCGGCTCCTGCGCTTCAGTTGGGAGGGCCAACTCTACGAGTTTCAGTGCCTACCATTCGGCCTGTCCAGCGCCCCCCGGGTATTCACGAAGCTGATGAAGGTCCCGATCAGTGTTCTTCGTCGTCAGGGCATTCGTCTCATCCTGTATCTCGACGACCTTCTCCTGATTGCCGAGTCACGGCCGGCCGCCGTGCTGCAGACGCAGCAGGCCATTCAACTCCTAGAATCTCTGGGTTTCGTAATCAATCGGAAGAAGTCCATTCCCGAGCCTACGCAACAGCTCGAGTTCCTAGGATTTCAGTTGAACTCTGTGGCCATGACGATGTCTGTGCCGATCGACAAGGCGCGGAAACTCCAGCAGGAGTGCCACCGAGCCCTGTCCCAGCCCTACCTGTCCATCCGCGCATTGGCCTCACTCCTGGGCAGGATGGTTGCGTGCTCCCCAGGCATGTTTCTGGCTCCACTGCAATTCCGCCACCTTCAGCAGTTGAAGATTGCAGCCCTTCGTCGCCATCAGAGCTACCTTGCCACGGTACGCCTGACGCCGGAAGCCAGGACGGAGCTGACGTGGTGGGCAGCAGATCTAGAAACTTGGAACGGTCGCTCGATTCTCAAACCTCCCGCTCAGCTCACCATATTCTCCGATGCGTCCCTGCTCGGCTGGGGAGCGGTGTGCGGCACAACGAGTACTGGGGGTCAATGGTCCCCTACCGAGGCCAATCTCCACATCAATGCTCTGGAATTGATCGCTGCCTCATTCGCGGTGAAAGCCTTTCATCACCGGGCCTCGTACCGTCCTCTGCACATCAAGTTGTTGATCGACAACACGACAGCCGTCAGCTACATCAACCGCTTAGGCGGCACGCATTCCCGTCTCCTGTCCCAGATCGCTTGCGACCTCTGGAGATGGGCGGTCCAACACGATATCCGCCTCCAGGCGGAATATGTGCCGAGCGAGGAGAACCCAGCGGACCATCCTTCTCGGGGCTCCCTCTCCGAGTCCGGCGACTGGCGCCTGGACCCTGCTCTGTTTCGCAGGATTCAGAGGGCAGCTCCTTGGACCTTGGTGCTAGATCTGTTCGCATCTCGACTGAACACGCAACTTCCCGCCTTCTATGCTTGGAGGCCGGATCCGGAGGCTCTCGCTCTAGATGCGTTCTCTCAGAATTGGAGTCTCCCTCATCAGGACGCGGTGTATGCCTTCCCACCATTCTGCCTACTGGACAGGGTGCTTCATCGTGTGGCCTCACTCCATACTTGCCGGATGATACTGGTCGCACCAGTATGGGATACGCAGCCATGGTACGCGACTTTGCTGCAGCTGTTGGTCGATTTCCCCATGCTTCTGCCCACATTCGACTGCCTGCTACTCTCACCCTCGGGCCATCCACACCCACTGGTACTATCCCGCCACCTGCGCCTCGCCGCATGGCCTATCTCCAGCAGCGCTTCAATGCAGCAGGACTTTCTCCACAGGTCGTGCGACTCCTCTCCTCCTCTTGGCGGTCATCAACCAATGCCGCTTACGCATCGGCATGGGAGCAGTGGCTGGGCTGGTGCAGTCAACGGTCAGTGGATCCCGTTCGCCCATCTTTAGCTATGGTGCTCCAGTTCCTGGCCGATTCCTTTGAGGACGGCCGCAGCTACAGTACCCTGAATGTCTATCGGTCAGCGATGTCTGCTACCCTGCCTGAGCTGGATGGTGCACCCATTGGCCAGCACCCGTTGGTGGTGCGTTTGCTCCGTGGTATCTGCCTAGAGCGTCCGCCGCAGCCGCGGTACTCACATACTTGGGATGTGGGTATTGTCACTTCTTGGCTCTCTAAACTGCCTGCCAACACGGACCTGTCTCTCCCTGTCTTGTCTGGCAAGTTGGCCATTCTGATGGCCTTGACTGCTGCGCGGCGCTCTTCGGACCTCCACCGGCTAAGCCTCAACTCTCATCGTTTCTCTGCCGAGGGCGTGGTGTTTGACTATCTCACACCCCCTAAGCAGCATCGCCCTGGTTCGGAACCAGCCCGACCTGTCACCTTTGCTGCCTTTCCTGTGACTCCTGCACTCTGTGTTGTGGAGTGCTTCAGGGAGTACTTGCGTCGGACCGCCGACCTGCGGCAGGCATCTTCTGCACATCTGTTCCTCAGCACGAAGCGTCCGCACCACCCTGTCACCTCTGCAACGATTGCTCGTTGGATCAAGCAGGTTATGTCCAAGGCTGGTGTGGATACATCATTGTTTGGTGCCCATTCCACTCGTGCCGCTTCTACGTCTGCTGCGAAGCGTAAAGGTATGTCGACAGTGGACATCATGAAATGTGCTGACTGGAGTTGCGCATCCGTGTTCCAGCGCTTCTATTTCAAGCCGTGGGAGGGTGAGACCAGCGGCTCTTCCCCATCGGCACATCAGCAGTTCTGCCGCTCCGTGTTTGCGCCGTAGCGCTACCAATGTTGGCCTGGCCAGGTTCTGAGTCTGTGACTTTGTGTCTACCTCAGTAATCCGATTGCTGTCTGTGCCTGGCTTTCTCAATGCCGTTCTATCTGTGCATGTGTATAGTACACGGCTTTCCTCATTTATTCTTCCTTTTGCCATTACGCCTGTGTCCTTGTTCTGGACAGGCCTTTTGTCACTTTCTGCGGCAAGTTTCCGTGGCACCGATTTACCCTGTTCCTTACTGATTTGGTGGTGTGCTGCATGCCCGGTTGGGGGTTTTCATGGCCTGTGTTGGTCCCTCTCCCCGGTCTTGTGGTGTTCGCTTCACCTCTGATTTGAGCGTTGAAATCTACAGTGTTACATGGAGCGGAGCCTCTGATGTGCAATTGACGATTATACAAGGAACTCTGTTCTGATGTATAATCATAATTGCATGAAGAGGTGAAGCGAAATGTAACACTGTAGTCCCTCCCGCCCATCCCATTTACTTATGCACCGGGGAGTGCCCATGGGCTTTATCTTGGCCATTGACACGTTCAAACAAGGCCGAGGAAGGACTGGCCGAGCATGCGTGTTATGGTGTAGGAACGAAAGAAAAAAAGAAAAAAAAAAAAAAAGCTTTGAAAACTGGTTATTTATGCAGTAAAAATGTAGGGCCACTACAGTGTTACATTTCGCTTCACCTCTTCATGCAATTATGATTATACATCAGAACAGAGTTCCTTGTATAATCGTCAATTGTGTAGTAGTACAATGTCCTGTAGTACTACTTGCTTCCAGTTCGAGCTTGCAGTGTCTACTACTAGTACTAGTACTGTAGTAGTAGCAAGAGTACATGACGTTATGTACTCTTGGTAGTACTAGTAGTGACATCAAGGTTACACTGAACCTCCGACTCCGAACACACGTGATGCCGGTACTAGCACCAGGATTCGAGTCATCATCATACGACGCAGCAGACTGACACTGTCTAGTCTATGCCTCTGCCTCTTTGCCCGTACAAGAGGCTCAGTGAAAAAAAAAAAAAGTCTATGCCTGTGCACGTACATACATGTACCTGTAATGATAATGAGTCTGCAGACTCTGCACAGTCAACGCTAGTCGCTACAACTTTTGGTACAAGTGAATGACTGAGACTCAGGCCTCGTTTACCATGGTTTACAGGACGATTGAAAAACGTTTTTGTCAAAAACGTTTTCAAAAGAATACGCTTCCACAGATTTTGATGAGAGCGTTTACTGTAAATATACAAATTTTCGGCAGCTATTTAATTTCGGCTATATTTGGCACCGACCCAAAACGCCTAAATTAAAACGCCGATGAAATTCTTCACAACATCTGTCGCACTATACCATGCCCTCTACCCCACGCCGAAAATAAATCGCCGTCGAAATGTCAAAAATCGTGAAGTGCCGAAATTTTGCAGCGCCGAAATTTTGTATATTTACAGTACACGACAACGCTGAAAAACGTTTCAAAAACGTTTCAAACGAAAACAGCCTTCAAAGTGTTTTTCAATCGTTTTCGTTTCGTTTCGTTCTCAACTTATTGCACGTGACCATTGCGTGCCGAAAAATGTGTTGCAGTGTACACGCTTACCGGTATCGTTTTTGTGTAAACAGCAAAAAGTTTCGAAAAAGATTGAAAAACGTTTTCAATCGTTGTCGTGTAAATGAGGCCTCAGGCTGCGTTTACACGGAGACGAAACGGAACGAAAACGGGCTGGCCTCGAATCCTTTTCAAACCATTTACACGAGAATGGCAAATCGTTTTGAACCGTTTACACGAAAACGGAAAACGGGCGATCAGGCTGGAGTTAGCACGTGCTGGCTTGGCGCAAGGGCGGGAAGTAACACGTTAGTTGGAGTTGGTACGTGGCGGTGGTCGCAAAGGTCGGCCCGGTATTTCCCACGAAATATAGTCCCACGCGGAATGGTTTCCATGACCGCGCTCCGTTTCCAAACGTTTTCACTGTTAACACGAGAACGAAAATGTTTTGAAAACGTTTTGAAAACGTTTCAAAACACTTTGAAGTGCGTTTCCCTTTCGTTCCGTTTAGATATCGTTTTCGGGCGTTGCCGTGTAAACGATAGTAGTAAACGCAACGATTTCGTTCCGTTTAGGTATTACTTCGTTGTCGTGTAAACGCAAATCGTTTTCAATCGTTGTCGTGTAAACGCAGCCTCAGTGAGAGTGTACCTAGCTCCGCACCTCTTTTGGCACAACACGACTTCTCCAGAAAATTGCTCCCACTGAGCGATGCATCGCCATGGCCATAAATGGCGAGTTTCTGTTTTGTTTGCTAGAATGTCATGATAATATTATCGCTTTAGGTCATCATCAGTCATAGAAAACCCGTAGGTTCAGTGCTAAATCGCCGTATCACTAAGGTGATAGCAAAGAAATCAGGAGCGCTTTTCACCTTTGGTAGATTCTACGACAAGCAGGAATTACATGTATGTGCAACAGACATTGCCTTGGTGATACCGATACGGTAAAATCATGACCCGATATGTGAACCATGCTCGATGCAGCAAAGCTGAATGAGTCACCATGACCTAAACAAAAAACTCCGCCGTGTGACATTTTTCCCCGGGGCTGCACACTTTCAGCTTTTGTTTATGCACTATTGTCGCACTGTTACTTGAAGGGACCATGGCGACTGCCCGAGACGTCACCACAACGAAGCAAGATACAGTAAAACCTGGTTTAAGCGACCACCTCACGGTGCAAGCAAAAGCGGTCGTTAAAGCCAGGTGGTCTTTAGAACCAGGTCCCACAGTGTCTGTGTAGAACTGTCCATGCATGGAAAAAAGGTGGTTAAGAGCAGGTGGTCGCTAACACCAGGTTTTACTGTATTCTAGACTAGAGCAGGAGCACGTACATGTCATGAAGAGTCCATGGGGTTATGGACTCTTGATGACATGTACAGTTGACTTCGCTAATAACAACTGCGGATATAACGACAGAATTTCCATGCCCAGAGCAAAGTCCCATCCAGCTGCAGTACACACATGTTTGACGAGACGTTGGGTATAACGACACTTCGCGAATAAGGACCGTGACTTTTTTGATGCTCCACCGAGTGTCGTTATACTCGAAGTTGACTGTACACGAAAACCTTTTTTCAGTTTCCATGTCAGGTACTGTAGCCCATGTAGATCTACACTTGATTCCCAAAAAGGGCCCAAGCCCCAACTTGACCAAGATTAGAGTCGAGTAGAGTGATTTGATGATGATGATGAGAGGCATAATTACTATGATTATACATGTACATGTACATTTATATGATAAAATCTGCACATGACTGTCTCCATCCGTGATCACTCATATACGCAGCCTTTGACTCTTACTTCATGGTGTTGTGAATAAAACCGTTCCCAAATCATTATACACAGGCAGTTGGGGAAATCGTGAATAGACTTACTGGATTAGTAAGCCGGTGGGCCGCCACCTGGCACCAGCGGGGTTATCCCTCGGTGTACGACATCTTATCCAGAGCACATGACTCTTATCTTACGTATACTCTTGATGATATTATTACATTTTTCTAATTGTCCGCAAACTCCAACGCAGCCATTTACACATTCAGGAAACTTCACTTCTCAATTCCAAATTCCAAAAACAGTCTCTTCACTGCGATTCAAATTCAAATTTACATTACACCAAATTTTTGGGCCTGGCCCTTCATCAGGGTAATGAATGACAAAATATTCATTGCATCGGTTCTTATTGAACTACATGTAGGAAGACAACAACTAATGACACTGAGACTGATAAACCTAACATATTGGTGTGAATGTGTTAGGTGAAGAATATGAAGTAAGTGTATGTGGTGTTTGTCTCAGGGGTAAGGTGTGTTTGGGTTGGGAGGGGGGGGGGGGGGGGGGGGCTTCAATTTAATCTCATTGGACAGATGCGAATACAGAGTGATACATTGTCTACCCACAGCTACATGTCGTGGCGACAGAATTACATGTACTTGAAGTACATGTGTAGAATAACACCTACATCCGCCTGCGGACACAAACAGGCTTGAAGTTTCACATGTAGAGGACAATAGGGCTAGAAAGTTAGTGATGACGCCAAAACGGCCAGGGAGTAGTAAGTTCACATCAGATTTCTACTTTTGGATCCACTAAGGTGTGACTTTGCTATTGCCTCAGTATGTGGGTGCATAGCAACCCACTCATGTCGTATGCAGGTGTGACTTATTTTGTACTTCGCCACCAGCTGTCACCCCACCCCCATTAGCCAAATCAGTCAATTTCACCGGCTATATCCGGCTATATCACCTTGCTGTGAGTAAGACCGCTTGAAATGTGCTTGGATGGATCCATACAAAAACTGGATCCGTGTGGATCCAGTTTTTGAATTTTTGAAATTGTTGCTATGCTGTGACGTAGCACTTTCAAGCCCCGTACAATACAACACCTACAGTCAGACCAAGCACTGTACATACCAGGGAGTCGTAAAATACCGGTATTTTACGACTCCCTGGTACATACAAGATGTTTTGAACAAGATATGTTTTGGATATTTTGTCATTCATTACTCTGATGATGGGCCAGGCCCGAAAATTCAGTGTGTTCAATGTAAATTTGAATTTGAATCGCAGTGAAGAGACCGTTTTTGGAGTTTGGAGTTGAGAAGTGAAGTTTCCTGAAGATATTATTACACATTATACGTCATCGGGTAAGTCTGTGGGAGTTGAAAATGGGAGGGGGGCCTGAAGAAAAATTGACTGCCCGTGACTGCAAGTACTCGAACTAGGGACCCTCGCTTATGGCCAACACATTATACAGTGTGCATGAGAGACTGGAATACCGAGCCAAAAGAACCTAACTTAAAAAGGGGTTACCGTACAAGTGGCAAGCAGCACGACCATGGTGTCTGGATCATTCCAATACCACAGATACAGTAAGCCTGGAGAATGACACCGATTTCAGGCCCAATGCTCATTTGACTGTTTGCTTTCAACTCTGACAAACATGAACAATTTATGAACACCAGTACGTTTTGCGTGCCCGGTCGAGGGTCATTCATCATTATTCACAAAGTTGACTGTAGATAGACCTAGAACTGACCCCCCCCCCCCCCCCCCCCGGTCATTCCACTGGACTTTAAAGTCCACAGCGGAGTAGAGTCTCTAGGGCAGTGCTCTGGTCACGAGATGGTCCCCAGTGGCTCAAATTCCAGCAATGTGACTTAAAATTACCTCTACTTGGATTATTGGTTCTCAGTATGTACATGAAGTTTGGAGAGGTGAAAAGAACACAGACAGCGCTGGTCCATTGCTTCTAAACGTCTTGCCTTCCCCACTACAACTCCCTGATATAGAATATCAGGGAGCTGTAGTGGGTAAGGCAAGATGTTTTTATGAATTGATTCCAAATGTGTCGACATCCATAAAAAGCAGTATATATGATAACTTCTAGCGCAAGCATCAACTCACCATGGTTCTACTAGCTCTTTCATAACAAGAATATAATCCATGAGTAGCGACGTTTCATGTTCAGCCGAGTGGCAAAGCCGCTGTATTTCGAGAAGGCACGACGCTTTCTCAGCCAGCCCATCACAATCGCTGCTCAACCTCTCCTGCAACAGGAGAAACTGCCTGTGCAGCTCGGCATGCAAGTGCTGCCTTTGCTGGTCGGTTAAGCTTGCTAGGCGACGGTAAGTCACAAACTGCAACGAGTGCTCAATGTGCCAGACAAGGTACCGTGTTCGCTCTATGTCGACGTCGAAGTTCAGCCCCACAAGCACAGCGTAGAGCAAAGCAAACGCAGCAACTATCGAGCCAGCACGGCGTAATGGCTGGAAGATGAGAAACACATAAGCAACAAGCAGAACACAGGCCACTCGAAGTGCAGTGTACATTAGTATGACCACGGGTGAGGATTGGAAGTCCGCCAGCGCACAGTCACTCAGGTACAGCTGGACAGTCTCGTTGGTCTGACGCAGTAGCACATTGACTGCATCCTGCAAATGCACGGGTACAGCTTCCAACAGCAAGTAACGATGGATGTGTAAATCATGCATAAGCCGATCTGCTACCGCCAGTTCACCAGACAGAAGTCGCTTGTTGAGTGTCTGCAGATAGCGGTGTGCCGCTACTTCTTTCTCAACACCATCCATCATCTCACGCTCCATGTTCCTGAAATCTCCCAGAACAGACAGAAGACTGGCAGCTTTCCATGCCAACACTGCATTGAGGTAATTGTCGACATGCCGCCTGACAATCTCTTGTCTGGTTGCTAACGTATTAAGATCGTTCCTGTATGACTGAAGTCTGTCTCTCACATAGCTCAGCCGCTCTGCATTACTTTGGCAATGTGTCTCTAACACAGAGTGTATTTCCACCGAGAGAAGATTGGCAACTCTCCAGCTGATGTACAGCTTTGTCTTGATGCCGTTGCCAGCGGCTACCTGGTACAGAGCAGCTTCAAGGGCAGCAAAGCCCCGGGACCCGACAGTGGACACCTCGTCTGCACTCAAACCACCCAGGGGCGCCGTTCTTGGATCTGACACGGCAGATGGGCATGCTGTCGTTCCCGTGTGAGGTGAGTCCGGTGAATGACACAG